TGCCCAGGGACTTCAAGAAGAACCAGAAATGCCGGGGGACCCGTGTGGTGTGGGTCAGGCTGTGTTAGGAAAAGCCTTGAAAGGAAGAACATCCTGAGACTTGTCGTCAGAAGAATAACCAGGGAGCATGAAATAAAGTTGGCCCTTAGTGAATCCAAAGAAACATCTGCCATCACATGCGTTTCCTTTTTTATTTAAAAATCAGTTAAATTGGAGGGGCTCTCCAATCCTGAGTGAGGCTAGGGCTTCTGTTCTGCCACCTGAAGCCAGCAAGGGAGCTGGAGTGGTGGACAGGCTTAGAAAAAGCCCTGGGCTGGTCAGAGGAGAGATCCTTGGAGCACCAGATCCACCCCACGGGGGAGCACCCTGAGGGCGGCAGCCCGCTGAGGGACCTGGAAGCTGGTCCTCTGTGCTTGGAAAGATGTAAGTAAATACACGCTGTGACTCACAGAGAAACAAAAGCAGGAGCCGCCAGCAGGGCTAACCAGAGATAATCCCTGTGGTCCACAGAGGTGTGGGGCCAGGTGCCAGGCAGGTGGCTGGACACTGAGCAGGCGACTGTGAGACCCGAATTGAAGCACTTGGCTGTAGAATTTGGACTTGTGTGTTGTTTTAGGATGTGCGGAGTGAAAAGTGAGCATTTTCTTCCCATCCCCTGGTGCTTTTCTGTTGAGTACCTGGCCCCCTGTAAAGCCCCCGGATTTTCCGACATCTAGAATGGTTCTGCAGCTGGGTTAAGATGAATTGTGCCAGAATGAAATCACAAGGTGTCCTCCAGTTGACTGTTGGCATACCCATGCTACGATCAACCTGGTCCCTGCTTCAAAGGCAGATCTTCAGAAGCTGTGCTGAAAGGCAAGGGGCTGGAAGCTGGGCTGGAGCTCCAGAGACCTGGTGGGATCTCTCCCCAGCCCCAAGACTGCACTTTGGGTGACTCCCTTGAATCCCCAGTCATCTCTTCTTCTGCTCAGAGCTCAGCTTCTTATTTAGGACATTGAGAGAACTTGTGATTGTTCCTGTGCATGCATTGTACATTCCACCGTTAGTCTCCCACACTGCAGTGGCAGAATGAGCATGAGGACCCCTAGCCCCTCTCTTTGTCCTCATGGACCATGGCACCTGCTCCATCATGTCTGCTACAGAAGCCTTGGGTCTGTGGACCAGTCCATGGGGGAGTTCTTGCAGCTGCCTTGGGGTCCTGGGTGATACCACTTCTAAATGCCTGGGCCTACGTGGGGCATCCGACAGCACCACTGGGGCCGTGTTCTCACCCCGGCCCTGACACCGATGTGAAAAGCGCTAATGTACATTCATCATGTGGCTGCCTGCAGACTGGGATGTGGTCCCTGTGTGACCATGACCTCATGGGTCAGGCAAGGACCCTAAGAAGTTATCATGGATGCTTATGTGGGGTTATGGTTTTCACAGTTCCCCTCATTCTGGGGCGACACTGGTTTCCCTGTCTGGGGTTCTCATGGGCTCCTGATGTTTCTTCAGAGGAAAGGGTGGCAGTGTAAATTGTGACATTTGCTCAGTTAGGTGGCTCACACTGGAGGTGGGGGTCACTGGCGAGTGCCCCGAAGAGCCCAGCAACCTGCGAGCTAGTGAATCAGAGATGAGCAGGGGTCTCAGCAAAAAGGGCTGGAAGCTTCTAGCCAGATGGGGGAGCTTTCAGGGGACACCATCATCAGTTTTCAGGGCCTCTCTGCTGTCTCATGTGGGGACTTGTCTCAAGTGGTATCTCTCTGGTGGTGCCGAGCTGCCTGGTGTGACGTGGAAGCCCAGGATGGCTCTCTCTGTAGGGACTTGGGGTGCCATGGGCGGGAGGCAGGACAGGTGCGTGCGTGGCACCAGGTGCAGTTGGAAGTGCTTTCCGGATCCAACCTGGGCCATGTGTCTGGAACGTGTTCTGTGCTTGTCCCAATCCAAGGGCTCCATGCAGGCTCTTTATAAACTGACCTTACTTGCCCCTGCTCCCTAGTGTTTTGGGTGTCTTTGGGCTGGGAGTTGAGTTGGTTTCCCAAATGCTGCCTAGAGGGCAGGTGGGGTAGAGGGAGGCCTCTTGGCCTGCAGTTCCCAAAGCTCCTAAGCCAGTTCCAGGTTCCTACTTGGAGTGTGTAGTCTGGAGTCCTTTCTCCGTCATGTACTTTCTGCCATTTTCCTCTAAGTGTTGTGTGGTTTCCAAGGCAGATCAAATCGCAGGTCTTCTTGGGAAGCTTGCTGTGTGCCAGCCTTGATAGAGTTAACGTGTCTTGTTTTGCATGTGATTTTTTTTTTTTTTTAAATGTTCAGAAAGCTGAGGGTTGAAATAAATCATTCAAAGTCAGGGATGAAATGTTGCCTTTGGCATGTCAATCTCCATGGAAATGTTAAATGAGGTCCTCATTGAAAATAACCTGACATTAAATGACCAACCAGATGTCTTTATCTTTGGGTCTGAATCATTTAGGGACAGCCCACATAAGGGCCTGGAGGAGACGGGTTTTGCTGCAGCCCCTTGGGGAGGATGAATGCCAGGGCTTGTGGGATCCCCCATCTGGGCTCTGCTGTCCTCACCATTCTGGAACTCTCTTCTTCCCTGACCTGCTGGTGATCCTGGAGCAGGCATGGCTTCTTTTTCCCATTTAGTGCTCTTACCAAGATCTTGTAATTATCCTGTTGGTGTTACGGGAAGCCCAAGTAGGGAGATAAATTTTTTTTGTTGCTTCTCACAAGGTCATTTCTGCTGTCGACTGGAGAAATACGAAATGCACTCAGGTGCCTGCAGATGTGCCTGGTTAAGAAAATTACCCCTGGGTAGCTTTGCTGCCCTGCAGGGCTGGGGTCTCACGTTTGGAGAGGATGTCCCAGGGCTTCCAGGCAACACAGCCCCTCTCCAGGTGCCTTTCCAGAGTCTGGTTAAATTTCCATCTGGACCTTCTGCCCCAGGTGACCTGAGCCAGCAAGCAGAATACCACAACTGGAGGGCAAGGATCCCTGAAGAGCCCAGGGGTGGCTGTGGCTTAGGACGGGTCACCAGGGCTTTAACAGATCTCTGGATCTGCCTCTGGTGACTTTTCCCTCTGGCATCGGGCCTCAGTGCCACCGCCATCCTGTGTCACCCAGTGGCACCTGGCTGCTGTGCTGCCTCCCCATACCTGCTCCCTCTACAAAGAGCTGGTGGCCTTGGGAGATATAAAGTTTCTTCCTTTTTTATTATCCTGAGTCTACTGTGGCTACCTTTTGGACACCATCATTGCTCTGTGACTGTTTCCTTCCTGGTAAGAAAGATATAACATGTTGAAGATGGGTGTCCACAGATGAGAACCTTTGCGGGGGGCGGGGCCAAGGACTCCTGACCCTGACCTCTGTGTGTCATAGAGCCTGTAGGTTCTTCTTGGACCTCTGGGATGCAGATCAGACACTGTCCCCACATACACTTTGGGTAACCCTGCCATCCAGCTGCAGTTGCCCCTGTGCCAGAGCTGCCAACCCCGGAGTGTCTTTCTTGCTTAGCGTCCTGGGTACTGCAGCCCCATGTTTCTGGGGTGGCAGAGAAGGAAATGCACTTCTCTAAGTTTGCTTTTTTCTAGTTGGTCACTAGCCAACTTTAGAGAGTGCAGGGCATTTCTTCCTGTGGGGACTGTCGTCCCTCATTGTGTTAGACCCAGGAAAGTCTCACCAGTTCTTTTGAACTGATTTTTTTTAAAGATCCTTTCAGAAGAGGATGTTGAGTTCAGCTCTGCACGCATGTGGAGGTGGGATGACAAGGCTCCCCCAGCTCTATAGAACTCTGATGAACCCCCAGTTACTGCTCCCCCAGGGAGAGCGGCGTGGGATGGGCCACAGCAGAAATAGCAGCACCTGCTGTTGTGGCCGCATTACTATTTGGGAGGAAAATGGCCCAGTGAGTGCACATTCTAAGATGGCAGGAGTGACCGGAACCAGAGTCACACAAGGCAGAGCTTGTTTACCAAGGGCAGCATTGATGACAGTCATGATAGACTATAGGATTCTCCAGGAGGATGGAGGCCTGAGTCATGTGGAAAGAGGCCTGATGGGCACCACAGCTATGGAGAGGTGAGAGCCATTTCTCCCACATACCCCTGGCCTAGCAGGATCTTGTGCCTAGCAGCTCTGGGCATGTCCGGCCCACTGTGGGGTGTCAGGTCGTTCATGTCCCTGCAGGCTGAGTCCTCTGCTTAGGGTACACTCTGAGTTGCACAGGTTATGTGTTTTGAGGATGACGTGGACGAGTGGGTCCGAATCGGGCAGGTCCCCCAAGATTCTTGCTCCTCTTACCATGGTCGCCAAGGAGCTGATCTCTCCCACAAGCTTGACTGGGGGCTTGAGCCTCTGCTCCCTGAGGCTTCTTTTTCTTTTTTAAATTTTTTTTTGAGTTGGAGTCTCACTCTGTTGCCCAGACTGGAGTGCAGTGGCCGCTTCCGGCCATTGCAGCCTCAACCTGCTGGGCTCCGGAGATCCTTCCACCTCAGCCTTCTGAGTAGCCAGAATTACAGGCATGTGCTATCATGCCCAGCTGATTTTTTGATTTATTGTAGAGATGAGTTCTCGCCAAGTTGCCCAGGCGGGTCTTGAACCCACGGACTCAGGCAATCCACTCAACTCAGCCTCCCAAAGCGCGGGATTACAGGCTGAGCCACTGAGCCCGCTCCCTGAGGTTTCATATACATCTCTGCTGCCTTCACCCTTCCCTGTTGTAGCGCCACTCCCACAGGCTTGGCAGATGACCCCAACTGACAGGTGGAGGGCACGGCAGCCACAATCCATGCCACGGTGGGTATAAGAGCCAGCCGGCAGGCCATGGTCTCCCCTGGGTGTGACCACTGATCTTCAGGCAAGGCCAACCTCGCGCCCGTGCTGCCTTCCTGGGGGTCTGCCTCATGCCCGCTCTCCTCCCTCCTCCGCCCATCCCTGCCAGGCAGGTTTCATAGCTCTGGGCAGGGCTGTGGCACCATCCCGTGACTCCTCCACCCCGGGGTCTTCTTTGTCTTGTCCAGGTGGTGCTCTGGGTCGGCCTGGGTGTCCTGGTGGTCAGCACGCTCACCACCCTGTCTGTGAGCGAGGAGGCCCCCATGGACATGGCAGAAGAATCCCCCGGTGACAGGCTCAGGCAGGCCGAGGATCTGGTGAAGGTGGAGGCAGCCCGGCTATCAGGTACGCGGCTCTCAGGTAGGTGGCTCTCAGGTATGTGCACAGGCCCCTGTCCCTGTCCCCGGTGCCTTCTGAGATGTCCATGGGGTCATCTCAGGTCACAGAGGTACTGGTGGCACTTCACAAATGCCTCTTGGCTCTGGTCCAGGAACTTGTCTCACCTACCTATTGGCCTCTGTCCTGTTTGGGTACAGTGGGGTCATAAAGAGGCATGCAGGGGACATGGGACAGGGGCAGCACTCCTGCTGGCCACCCCCATGGGGCTGAGATCTCAGTGTCTGCCATTCAGTGCACTAAGAGGTACATAATGTACATTTGTGAGTGCTCACATTATGTTTTGTTTTGCTTAGCTTCGAAGATGTAAATTTCCAGCTAGTTTTCTTCTTGACAAAGCCAGTGATTATGCCTTGTATACTGCTTCAGGTTTTGTTTTGTTTTGTTTTGTTTTGAGTTATGGTCTCACTCTGTCACCTTGGCTAGAATGCAGTGGCACAATCATGGCTCACTGCAGCCTCAACCTCCTGGACTTGGGTGATTCTTTCATCTCAGCCTCCGGAGTAGTTGGGACTATAGGTACATGCCACCATGCCTGGCTAATTTTTTTTTTTGTAGAGACGGGGTCTCACTATATTGCCCAGACTCAGGTTATCTATTATTTGTTTTCTAGGCCTATTGATAGAATTATGGTCACATTTTCTCATGCTACTGTAGGCCACCTTGAGAGGGCCCTGTGTTGCTGTGTGACCTCAACACCACATTTGTGACTGTCCTGTGGGATGTGTGTTTGGGAAGCTTGCCTTTCTGAGGCTCCAGTTCTATGTGTCAGGGCAGTATAGCTGCACCCCAGACCTCCCAGGCCTGGGTGGGAGTGGCACACAGGATTCCCTGCAGGGCAGCAGACCCTGCCCTGGCCCACATCTGTCTAGCAGCTCTGAGCAGTTCCAGGTGCAGGCACTAGTGGGTAGGTGCTGTCTGGGATGACGTTCATTTTGAGGGCAAGGTTTCATGCATCTACACTGCTGCTGCACTCAAGTATGTGCCACACACTCTCCTGCAGAGACCTCAACTCAGTCAGATTCGCTGCGTGTCATCCATATGCTGCTCTAGGGAGCCCCATGATGGCAGCAGTGCCATCTGTGGCTAGGGGACCTCAGGCCACAGTGGAGGTGCTGGCAAGAGCCCCTGCCATCACGGAAAGAAGGAAAAGTCCCATTAAAGGGAAACCCAGGAGTCAGTGTGCCTGCTAGAACCTCTGGGGCACACGGAGGCCCCATCTGGCATGGTGACCCTTGGATTTGTTGTCATCTCTGTGCATGAGAAGCCCTTCCCAGCACTGTCACCTCGTACCAACTGTCCTAAGGAAACCCCCCAGGAGCCCCATGCTCAGTGTGACTGAGGATGCTCAGGCCATCCTGGGAGGGCAAAGACAGATGAGAAGAATTCTCCTCTCCACATTCCCTGCAGCTGGTGGGACTGAGACATAGACAGGGTCTTGGGGACAGCCGGGATCACCAGAGACAGAAAACAGTGTTCAGAAGCCATGGGCTACTGCACGCTGCCTGGCATCAGATTCAGAAGTTTGGAGAGCAAAAAAGTCCACCTGAAGAGGGAGATGATACTGTGTCCCTTCCCCAGGTGAAAGTTCTGGGCTCAGTCCCCCTAGGGAGGGCCAATTGATGTTACCGTCCAGGCTGCAGGGCACAGAGCAGGCGCCGATGGAGAGCCATCAGAGGGAGGAAGCACAGAGCTGGGCGAGGGGGTTGTGTCGAGGTGGGCTAGGAGCTGCAGTCCAGCTGCTGGCCTTGTCCTGGGCAGAGAGAGGGTGCACCTGTACAGAGCTGGACCCTCATGACTCCTGTCCCCATGGTGCAGGTCTGCCCTAGAGTGGACTTCCCGGTGTCAGTCAGCCCTAGGCTCTCCATCCCATGGCACGCCAGCCCGGCCGGTGCGAGCAGCTGCATCCTGTCACTGAGGCCTGCACGGCCACGGGCTGCTAGCTCACCTGGTGCCCTCTGAGGCCACATCTGGTTTCTATTTCTTCCACAAGGCTATAACAAAACACATGGCCCCTCTCAGAACCACATGCCGTTTGTGTTTAGCGTGTTCTCCAATTTTCTAGCCACCCGGCCTCACTGTAATTGATGGGCCTTCTCGCCCAGGCAGGGCTGGGGCTGGGGCCTCGCCCGTGTGTGCTCAGCGCTGGACGGCTGAGCAGAGTTTATTGGTCTCTTTGATGCTGCAGAGGCCAAGACTGGTACCTGCCGACGTGGTGCAACCCTGTGCCGACCCTGGCTGTGGTGGTGAGTCTCACCCTCGCTTGGGACACTGAGGGCACAGTGTCACCCTCGCCTGGGACACTGCACACGCGGCCTGGTGGGCCCTTGGGCCACATCCCTAGGAAGACTTGTGAGACAATTATCCATGAGAGGACAGCTAATTAGGCATTCATCTCCATGTTCAGCAGCACCCCAGAGGGTCTGGGTCGGGTTTAGGTTGGTGACATTCCCTCCTTCTTAGAGTGCTGCTGGGTCCCTTCCAGTGCCCATGCGCCCGTCACTGTGCTGCAAGGGGCAGCACAGCCTGGCCCCACACCCTCTGGCAGCTGGTCTGCTCTCCTGTGGGGTGGCACTGGTGTGCTTCTGCTCAGTGGGAGAAGGAGGCAGGGGCCTGGCAGGAGGATGATCGGGACTGCAGCAATGGAGACAGGATGAGGGCCTGCCAGGCGTCAGCATGTCACGCATGGGCGGAACTGACCACAGGGCTGGGCGGGGGCGGAGGTGGCGGCAGACCTGTACACTCAGGCCTGTGCGAGGCCATGTGGCCCCCACAGGTGGTCCCCGCTCTCACGCTTGACACAGGCCAGAGGCTGCCAGAAGGTAGCACCCCTTCCTGCCTGGCAGGGAGGCTCCTTCTGAACCTGGCCAGGTCTGGCACAGTTATCTTGGACGGTGCCAGTGAAATCTGCCCACGGCTGCCTCCCAACACACCAGCAGAAAATGGAACAAAAATTACAACGGGGGAGAGGCATGTGGGACCCAGCAAAGGAACTATTAAATGCCCGCTCAGCAGGGCCACACTCTAGCTGTCCCACAGTCGAGGAGAAGCAGGAAGTGTATGGCCAGGGTCTCTTCCCATCTTTTTGCTCCATGGAAGGACTTGGGAGCCTCCTACCTCCACACGAGAGGTGGCGGTACAGGCACAGCGGAGGAGGAGGCAGGTCCTCAGGAGAGCAGGGGATGATGTATGGAGGGAAGTTCTGTCTGCTGGAGGCTTGGGCTCCACCAGGCCGCCCAGTCCAGACACCACGGGTATGAGGAGCCAGTGACCAAGCCACTGGGATCCCCTCACAACCGGAAGGATGAGATCATGTCACCTTCCAGCCAAGTGCGGAAGACTGGGTCTTAAAATGAAGCCCTCAGTGAGCAGCACATTCTTCATGGCAACACCAAGGGAAAGTCAGAAACCAGGTAGGGGAAAGTTACCTAAAAGCAGGGTCTTTTTAAAGAGTAACAGCAGGTGGCCACTTTTCTTCCTAGGAGCCTAGTGCTGGGGTCTCACTTCTCCTGAACTCGGGGCTGCCCTTGGGTGGGTGGGGAACCCCATCAGTGGAATACAGGGATAATGTTTGAAAATCACTTCATCTTGGGCGTGGTCATCTGAGATGACTGTGTCCAGCTGTACTGGTTACAAGATACACAGAGCCATGGCAAGGCCAAGCCATTGACTGGCAGGGCCAACCCGTGGACTCGCTGGGTTGGGAAGGGAGCACTGACCTCCTCCCAGCCTCTTACGGCTTGCCTCCAGGGTGGACGCCAGCCTCCAACCTAGTGTCAGACTATGTTAGATGCTACCTCTTCCCCTCCCGTGGGGCATTGCAACATCCGGTCACTTCCAAGTCCTCAAGTGTGTCGACTCAGGGTCCTCCTGGCAGGAGGGGGACCCGGACTGCAGCAATGGGAACAGAACGAGGGCCTGCTGGGCGTCAGCACGTCATGCATGAGGACATGGGGCAGAACTCACCACAGGCCTGGGCAGGGGCAGAGGTGACTGCAGGCCTGGCAGGAGGGGGACCCGGACTGCAGCAATGGGGACAGAACGAGGGCCTGCTGGGCGTCAGCGCGTCATGCATGAGGACATGGGGCAGAACTCACCACAGGCCTGGGCAGGGGCAGAGGTGACTGCAGGCCTGGCAGGAGGGGGACCCGGACTGCAGCAGTGGGGACAGAACGAGGGCCTGCTGGGCGTCAGCGCGTCATGCATGAGGACATGGAGCCTCAGTGGCCTTGGGGCCTCCTGTGCCCCACCGGCCGGCAGGAAGGAAAGGAGAGTCCGAGGGAGCTGTCTTGTGCAGTGGGTGAGTTGTGGCTTCTGTCACTCGTCACCGTGGTGGTACATTTCCAGTGTGAAGGAGCTGAGAGCCTGCGCCAATGCCCAGCAGTAAGGTGTTGCCAGAATGTGGCGTAAATACGGAATCTTCCCAGTTCTAGGTACTGGTGCTGCTGGTTGTGATTTTGGCAACTGGAAGCGACGCTCTTGAGGCCGCGTGAGGGCGGACGGGTTGATCTCACACTACCCTCTCCTCTAGCGTGGTGCTCCTTGGTGGCGCCCTCCACTGGGCATTCCTGGGGGAGTGTGCTGACCAGGTCCGCCCTCACTCAAGGTCTCCCCACTGCGTGTTAGCTGGTCTGTTACCGCTTAAGAGAAGGAATTCGGATGCCAGAGTGCCCTCCCTTCTGAGAGCTCAGTCGTTAACTGGCGGTAGTAGGCTCATTCACCACACAGGGCCCTTTCCTGTCTCTGTGCCGCCGTGGGCACATCAGCTCAGAAGCTGCCTAGCAGGGCTTGGGTGTGTTTGTCAGTTGCTAATTTTGAAGTTTTGTGTTAGTTTTACTGCAGCCAAGAGGCACTGCTGGCAAACCATCCCTGACGAAAAGGTTGGTTCCGTTTTGGAAACGGCGGCGTCCACTGCCCGCCGGACAGCTGTGAAGTGCTGGGCCCGACGGCCGGGCCTGGCGGGTGGCACAGCCCTTGCCTGACTCAGCGCTGCTGGCGGCATGCGAGCCAAGAAGCTTTTATAGCCTCTCAGCCCGTGCCTGTTACAGCCGGTGCCACTCACAGAATGCTAAGAGGCACGGCATTCCCAGAAGGCTTTCTGAAGGGACCTCCAGGGCAGCTCCTGGCCACCACGGTCACCCCTGTCCTGTGCAAAGGGTCATCCCCATGCTCCTTCAGGTCCAGCACTCCAGGCCGCTACAGCAAGGCCTGAAGATGGGCTGAATGTTGTTTCCTGCTGAGGAAATGACCTCTCAGAGGCAACGCGTCCTATTACAGAGATTTCCTTTGTTTTGCTGTATTTTTCTTCCCCTCTCAGCCTTCCTTTCTGTCTCTGTAACCCCAAGACAGACACCCTGATTGATGGCTGCACAGGGACCTCTGCCGGGCTTGATTGTGGATGGAGAACTGCACATTTGCACCCACTCGGGTGATGTCCATACACTGACTAAATCAGTCACCTGGCTGAACTGTAGAGTCCAGCATCTGCTTTCTGTTAACTAGCCTGTTACCCAGTAGGGTGGTACCTTCCCTTTACAGTTTATTTCGGACTCTCACATCCAAATTGACAACAGCATAGCTTTTTTCCCCCTAGCCTAAAGTATCAGGCGGGTCTTACGGGGCTGTTATAAAGCTGAGACAGATGTCCCCACTTTCCTCCTTGGGAGGTGGCTGAACCTCACCTGCTGCTCAAGTCCCCCTGGGTTGCAGCACCTACTTCGGTGCACATGGCCTTGCTTGGGGCCTGCATCAGGCTTTTCTCTTTCCTTTTCTGTCCCTGAGATGGAGTAGAATCTACTTTGGGCTGCTGGGATGAAGCGATTCTGGTTTTCAAGATTTTCCCCCAGCCAATTCTTTAATTTCTGCGGTGTGTGCCTAACCCGTCTTTTTAACAGAGGTAGTTTCCTAATTAGCTCCATTTGGACCCAGTTCTGTGTCCTGCGTGGCACTGCCTGGCCATGGTCTGTGGGAACGTGGGTCACATGATGCTTGTAGACGGTGCGAAGCCTGCAGCTTTGGCAGGTTTTCCAGTATTTCTCATCCTCCCCGTCAGTGACAGAAGTCAACAGGATTGCAGATGAACATTCCTGCTGTTATTTCCCTTAAAGGGGTGCTCAGTCTCCCCTTGCCCCTAGCCTTGCAGGTGGAGTTTGGCAGGATGGTGGTGATGATAGAGAGGTTGGACTGTGAGGATGGCGGGGCTGGGGTGGGGGTTGGAGGGGCAGCAGGTGAGTTGGTCCATGGGTTCGTGCCGCCATCTGGTGGTGATGGTTGAGTATTACACGGAGTCTGACTCTCCCCGCCTCGTTAGGTGTAAATTGCATTTTGACATATTTTTGTTATAAATACACATGAAAAATGACAGTTTTCTGTGCTACTTAGCTGCTAATGATGGAACAGGAAAAAAAACCTGCTTAGGCTCTTGCCATTCGTCTGGGAAATGCGATTACAGTCCAGGGAGAGCCACCCAGCTCCCCGAGTGCGAGACAGGGCAGCTTGTGCAGTGCCGTTCTGCTCACTGTGCTGTGCTTATAGTCCAGGATCCTGTCATGGCTGTAGACATGGCTGAAGACAGCCGGGATAAGCCAAAGCTGCCAAGGGAGAGCGAAGAGCTGGAACGGGCCCAGATTAAGGGCCCCATGGATATGCCTGAACGGGAAGATGCCAAGGAGATGCATGAGGAGGCGCAGCTCGACCGCCCTGGTCAAGGTGGCGTGGCACTGGCCTCAGGCGGGGTGGAGCGGGTGGGCAAAGAGAGCGGAGCCCTGGCAGCCCCATCGTGGAACTCTCAGGGTTATCTGTGTCTTTTTCTCTCAACCAGCTCTGAGTTCTGGTCCCTTCTTTGTCTTTCAACTGATGAACACCCTATCCTTGCCAGAGCAACTTGTTTGCCGTCCTGTTCTAGCTTTCTAGAAATAGCCTCAGTCCTCAGCTGGGGAGGTGGTGTTTGCTGACCCATGTCACAAGACGGAGAACTAGAGCTAGTTCAGGTTCCCAAGGGAAGGAAAGTGGGAGTCACCTCCTCAGCCCTGACCCTCATATGTCTCTCCCAGGAATTGCCATGCCTATGGGCGAAGCCCACCGCCATGAGCCTCCCGTTCCCCATGACAAGGTGGTGGTAGATGAAGGTCAAGACCAAGAAGGACCAGAAGAGAACAAACCTCCATCCACACACATGGATGGAAAGGCTCCCGAGGGCCAGGGTCAGATGGCACCGCCTCTGCCGAATTCAGAGAGAGAGAAACCAGAGCCAGAGAAGGGTGAGGTCGGGAAGAGGCCCAGACAGGCCCAGGCCTTAGAGGAAGCAGGCGGTCTTCCTGAAGATTCCCAGAAGGTTCCAGAAGCAGATGGTCAGCCAGCTGTCCAGCCTGTGAAAGAGGACCTCGGGCCAGGCAACAGGGATCTGCCTCAGGCGCCCCGGGCAGCGCTGTCTGAGGAGCAGAAGGTGGCAGGAGAAGGGGAGAAGGCTGCTGGGGTGCCACCACCAGGCAACGCTGCAGGGGACACGGGGAGACCCACAGAGGATGGCAGCCGCGGTGGGTGTCAGCCTGCGCTCATGTCAGGAAACACTCCCTCCATGGGAGGAGGGAGCGGAGGCTGGGAAGGGGTGGGAGGAATCTGTCCTTACCTCTGGCCCCTCTCCTGTGCATGAGATTAGCATGTGAATGGGGCAGCCCTGCAGCAGCTGGTAAGGAGAAGGGAGAGGCTGGTGGCTGACAGCTCCTGTAATATCTGTCACACAGTTGTTTGCAGACCACTAAATGTCAGGTGCCACGCTGTTCTCGTGTGTCTGGGCGCACACGGGGCGGTGCGGGGATGCCTGACAGGTAACACATTGTTAAGTGCCCGTCTAAGAGCTGGTTAGGACGGGCCTTGCATTTTAATTGGCGAAGGTAGTTAACGCTGGCTCGCTGCCACAAGCCTATGAGATTGTTAAATATTTTTTTATTACTTCCCTGGTAATCATCAAGTTGAATATAAACTGTGCTGATGGGGGAGTCATTTTGGAAACATCTGCCACCTCCTTTTGTCCGTCCCCTGCCTTATGTGCCCCTCTTCTGACTTTCTTGAAAGCCTTCTGAGTCTTCCCATGTATGCAGGTGGGAAACCCCTCCTGGTGGAGAAGCCGGCACCTGGGCCCGGGCAGCCAGAGCCTCTTGAGCAGAGGGACACGGAGCGGCCAGGCGGAGACCAGGCGGCCAGCAAGTTGGAGGGTAAGGACTTGGCGCCGCCGCCGCTGGCCTCAGGCCCAGGGCGCCAGCAGCCCCTTCCCCAGCCCAGGGTGGTGACGGTCATTCTTCCCTTTGGGCTGTCTGCCACACAGACCCCTTCCATGGTGCCTTCCACTTCCCACTCACAGCTCTCTCTCTGGCACCTCCCTGGGACCATTTTATCTCCCTTTCTCCCTTTTAAAAAAAAACCTGTCACCCTGTCACATGGCTTGTAATTACCATTTTCATCTCATCTTAAAGCAGGTATGTTAATATTTCCAACAGTCATGGGATTTAAAGCCTCCCAGGTGTGGGGTGTTCCTGCACCAGATGCGTAGGCTTATTTTAAGGCTGTGCCCTGTAGGGACCCAGCTTGGGGTGGCTGTATCTGCAGCACTGCTCCCGCACCCTGGGCTTAATTAAGGAGCACGGCTGGGGTCATCTGTGTAGAGATCCATCACCTGTCCCTCCAGGAAGGCTCTTCATACAGTTTCTCTCCCAGGAATAGAGCTTGCTCTGAATCCTCCTGCAAACTTTTGTGCCCATTCTGACTTCAGCTGTTGTCTTTTCATGACCCCCCCCCCCCCCCCCGACTTGTATCCTCACCCACTCAGGCGCTCCCTCTGGAGGGAGGTGGCAGCAGCCCTCCCAGCAGGTCTTGTGTCCTGTTTTCTCTGGTGGAGAGCAGGCTTCTGTGATGTGTCTCTTCCCAGGCTGGGGCGCCACCTGCCCAAGTGTCACCCACATTTGGTGGCAGTGTCCAAGCCGCTGCCTCTTCCTCTCAGGACACTCAGCTCTCCTGGTGGGGGGGGTCTGAACCAGGGATCTGGGTGGGGGTCACGGGACAGAGCCACACAGCCCTCCTGGGCCGCCCCTGGGAGTGGGTCCTGGGACCTCTCGGTCAGCTTTGCTTTAGGACATGTGGCCTTTCCCTGAGAGTCTGTGCCCTGTGGCCTTGAACAGCTGCCCCTGAGCTTGTGCCCACACCAAGACCGGAGCACTCCTGGGTGCTACAACTCAACCCAGCCATGGCTGGTGCAGATCTTCGTGGTTCTGGCGTGTTTTGGCTGACTAACTCTTAGCACCTACTGGCTGGAAGGCAGAGCCAAAGGCCCTGGGTTTCTGGAGCTCAGGAGCAGAAATAGCTTCACATGCACACATTACTTTGTCTCAGGTCTCAGGCTGCTACACTTATTGGTTCCTGTTCCTATGCTCTGTTACCTAAACCTGTTTGATTCCTTTGATTTTTTTTTTCTTTCTGAAAAAGAGACTTTTCACGGTTTCCTATTCTGCCTTTCTTCCATATGCCTCTCAACGGACGAGCAGCTGAAATTAAAAAGATAGTAGCAGGTATGAACTGAAGGAATGTGTTGAAGTGGAAAGTGTGTCTGTGGAGGGTAGAGAAGCTGCTGCCCAGGGACGCCCTCTTGAGGATGTGAGGCAGGCCCCGTGGGGGGACCCCACACCCACGCACTCTCCCTTCTGTTATAAACACCTCCATCCTTCTCAACCCCGCCATGGCTTTGCGCCATCAGAAGACAGCTAAGTGGCATCCGTAAATGCCATTGCTGCTGAAGGCACCACCCGAAAGCAGGGGTGTGGCTGCCTGTGTCCACTGCTCAAGTGTCCGAACTTCACATGCTGTGCCTCTGCCCATATCTGCATATGTGAGTGGCTCCCACCCCATCTGCGAGCCCAGGGTCCTGGTGGGCTCTGCCTGTGGGGACAGGCTGTCACCTCTACACTGTTTCACATCTGTCCTGTGTGGCTTCTAGCTGCATATGGCACCCCTCTTCCTTCTTCCTCCCTGTCTTCCCCCTCCTCCTCCTCCCGCTCTTTCCCCTCCTCCTCCTCTGGGCCAGGACTAGTCCTCCAAGAAACCAGTGAGGCAGTGGGGTCTGCTCTTCAGGAACCCCAGCCTGGGGACAGGGAGGTGTCAGCAGCATGTTGGGCCTCATCCTTGTACCACTAACCATCATGGGGTCGAGACTTACAGACTTCTAGGGTGAAAGCAGAGCCCATAGCCAAGGAGGCCTAGCTGCAACCCAGTGGGGACAGCACCCGGAGCTTCCTTGTCTGAAAGGTGGCTTGTAGGATCCCTGCCCCATTTGACATGGCCTTTCCTTCCAGGCAGGTGTCTGACTGGGATGGAGTTCTGGCAGGGAGCAGGGACTGCCACTCCGGGGCTAGCCGGGCGGCCCTGTCCTCCACGGCATCTGCCCTGTCCTTTATGGTATCAACCCTGTCCTCCTGGGGTCGGCCTTTTCCTCTGTGGGGTCAGTTGTGTCCTCCTGCGTCAGCCCTGTCCTCCTGGGGTCGTCCATCCTGACGTCCTTTTGCTGGCCACCAGCATCTGGGTGACCCCGGGGCTGCACTCCTGTGCAAACACTGACCTCATGCTGTTCTGGCTGGTCATTGTCACCACTGGGAGGATGGTCCGGCATGTCAGCCTGTGCCCGGCACATGGGTGTCCTTGCTAGGACATTCGTTCTCACTACTCACAAAACATCCTGCTTCTGACTTCAGCTTTTATACCTGACAGCCCCAACCCATCATCTTTCAAAGCATCCTAATTTAAAAGCATGTTGTAAAAATCATGAAAGCCATGGCTGCTTGCGGCAAATAACTGACATGTGCCAAAGTATTTGTTGTAAGAGGCAAACTACACCTATGAGTGGCTGCTGCCAGCAGCTGGGGCCAGGCTCTGAGGCTCTTGAAGCAGGTGAGAGCTGATGGCAGCACGACACACTCGTCCTGTGTCCTAGCTGCTCCCCACCTACCTCTCCCCTGGGGCCCCGAGGTACAAGACCTGCTAGAATCCTAGAACCGGCAGCAGTGGGACAGCTGGCCAGGCCTCACCAGGGCTCCCGCTCTCATGATCTACTTAAAAGAGGAAAGTTTTTGTTTGTTTTTAAAATTCTCACATTGGAGAAAACCTTCTAAAAGTACCAATATTCTTCTTAAGATATAGCGTATGGTTTTTATTTCTCACATGCTTGTCTTAGAACTGAATGTGTAAAATGGGGGAAAACAAACCACCCAACCCAGACCATCCCTGACCTTCCGGCACATTCTTTTGACTCGGTTTTTCTCTGGGCACTTGTTTTCAGTGAGCAACAAGTAGGGTCACTGGGCTTCTGCTGGATGTGCCCACATCACAGCCAGTGGAAGAACTTTAGCAGGTAGAACAGTGCCGGCCACAGTGGGCTCCTGCTGGCGGTCCAGGCCCAACTTCCCTTGGGCCCTCTGGCCTACATGCCTCACTGGGCTGGCGGGTATGCTACACAGTTAGAGTAATGAAGAGAGTATTGCCAGCAAAGGGTGTCAGGGCAGACTCCCTCCAGGTGACTTTTGTGTCTTCATTGTTAAGTATCTTGCTGTCCTTGCCTGGTACAGCATGTGGGCAGCTCCGACACTCCCTGATTGTGTGTTTTCCAAATGGTAGAAGCTGGCAGGGCAGAGATGCTGGACCACGCCGTCCTGCTGCAGGTGATCAAAGAGCAGCAGGTGCAGCAGAAGCGCTTGCTGGACCAGCAGGAGAAGCTGCTGGCAGTCATCGAGGAGCAGCACAAGGAGATCCACCAGCAGAGGCAGGAGGATGAGGAGGACAGGTCCAAGCAGGGTAGGCTGGGCTGGTGGGCAGAGCCGGGCAGTGGCAGGGCTAGGCCAGGTGGTTGGTGGGTGAGTCCGGGTTTTGCTTTGCAATTCTTAGTTGCTGCAAGTCCTTTTGAGTCCTTTTGTCTGTGCTCATTGCCGAGGCGAAAGCTGGTGACCTGCTTCCTTTGCAGCAGATATGCAGCCAGAGCCTGGGGCAGTCGTGCCTCGAGGGCAGGAGGCCCAAGATGGTGAGGCTGGGAAGTCGGCAGAGAAGGCACCCCCGCAGGCTCTGGAAACTGTCCTCGGAGCTCCTGGGGATCACCCTGCTCTGCCCCAAGAGCTTGGCCAGCACTCCCCAGAAGAGCCTGAGGGGGCTGTGGGCAGAGATGTTGCTGGCCCCCCTGATGGCCGCTCTGACACAGAGCCCCGGACAGCCCAGGCCAAGCCAAGAGAAGGCCAGAAAGGTACTCTGTCTGGGGCAGCCGGTGCCATGAAGGAGTTGCTTCCCAAGGCTCCAGAGCAGGTGCCCGTGCTAGACCCTGCCAGGATGCCCAGACGCACAGAGGAGCACCTTGCTGTGGAGTTCCCTGGGCAGAGTCAGGACATACTTGGGGGAGGTTCCCAAGAAAGGAAGAAACCTGGGAAGGAGGCAGCAGCCACTGGTGCTGGCATCCAGAAGGAGGCCAACCGGCTCGTGGCAGGGCCAGGAGCAGAGATCAGGGATCCTCGCAGCAAGTCCAAGAAAACAAGCCAAGACCTGGGCCCCGCAGTGGGCCTGCCCAGCAGGTCAGAAGCAGCAGTTCCTCAGCCCCAGGCTGCAGTACGCCAACCAGAACTGCGGGTTATCTCTGATACAGGTCAGGGTGGGCAGCAGGGCCACCAGCCAGACCACGGCGGTCACCTGGAGACAAGGAAGGAGGTCCCCGGTGGGGCCCACATGCCTGCGCCCCATGGGCAGCCAGCCAGGGAGGATGCTGCTATCCCGGAGCCCAAGCAGAGGCCAGAACTGGAGCTTGGGCCCAAACTGGCTGTCCCCGGAGCTGAGAAGCCCGACAACGCTAAGCCCAACCGAGACCTGAAACTACAAGCTGGCTCTGACCTTCGGAGGAGACGGCGGGATCTGGCCCCTCATGCACAGGGGGAGCTGGCCCCAAAGGATGGAGTCATCATCCGCTTCGACACCCTGCCGGACGTCCAGGTGAACGACCTCCGCAGTGCCCTGGATACCCGGCTCCACCAGGCCGCAGCGGGTGCTTTGCAGGTGGTCCTCAGCCGGCAGATTCAGCAGGTGCCTGGGACTCTGGAGGAGGCCTAGAGCCCACTCATGCTGAGGGTGTGGACAGTGCGGATGGCCACCCCCCTCCTCAGTCAGCGGCAGGTTTCCCCTGGCTGGTCCTGGCTGAACTCAAGATCGTGCTCATTTCTCGGTCTGAGGCCTTCACCAAGTGTTGGGAGTAAAAGTCTAAAAGATGCACCATTTACAACATTGTTTCCATTGCTGTCATTCTGTTGTGCCTCTGCGTCTGAGGTTCCCAGCATCTCCAAACGCTGTGCTCGCCGCATCCTGTGAGGAAAAATGGTTCTTGCCCTGAGCTGGCCAGTGCATTTGCTCCAAGGTTCAGACTCGAGACTGCATCTGCAGCCTGATGCTTCTGTCTGCTTCAGACAGTCCTGTTACTGGCTGAGAGTGAATGGGTGTTGAGGACAGTGGACAGTGTGACTACGGCACACACCTTTATGTGGCTGAGTGTCCCAGTACGAGCTGTTATGAGAACCAACGTTCAACCCCAAACTCCCAGTGACTCCGAATTTTATTTATCTAATGCTTCCCATGAGTGTTGTAGAAAACCTTAAATAAACACCTCTCCTCATCCTGCCTTCACTGCATGCTGTTTGGTGTCCAAGAGGCACAGGGTTCAGAAGCTGGGCACCAGCTGGAACCACCCTCCGCACTCTGTGTAGCTGGCACTTCCCTCTTTGGTCTGTTTCTTGAAATGCAGTTTTGTGATTTTCACAAAGTAAAAAACACCACTGAGATAAGCTGAGTAAAGTTGGTACTAAGGGAACAACCAAAAGGAAGTCCGTTAGGGATTCCAGACGATATGAAGCAGGGACTAGCGGTCATGAAAGAACACTGACCAGGTGTTACAGTGATTGAAGCCAGACACATTGCCACCCCAGAGACCCTGCAAGCAGGCGGAACTGCCTGGTGCTTGGAGGTCATCTGGACCCCGGAAGGAGGCAAATAATCCTTGTGCCCCCGCTTCTTTCCCCTGTACATTTTGGCTTTTTATTGTAATTTTCTAGCTTGAAGGATGTCACTGGACAGCCTGAAGTCTAGAAAATGAACAGTAAAGCAAGTGGAAGCTTCCAGAGGCTGAGCTGTGATTCTTGCTGAAACCTAGGAGCTGGATGTGGGCCTAAGGGGCCGGGGACGCTGTTCGCGCAACATGGGAGTGCCCGAAGAAGGGGGTCCAGCCCTGAGCTTTTCTTGCTCTTCGTTCTCCAATAAAAACAATCCCCAACAAACCATCACTCAGTGGTAAAATGCCTGCCGGACGTCGCCCTGCAACAGGAACTCCATTTGTTAAGTGGCTTGGCATGGGATTTTTTTACTCTGGCTGGATTTTCCCGAATCTCTTACCTTGACCCAGTTTTCTTCTTCTTCTCTGGAGGTTATTCTGCCTTCCTCCCCTTCCTGCCAAGATAACTTCTGTCATTAGGACAGGGCAGGGCCATCCTATCCTGGCACAGATGGGCGTCTGTGACTGGCTATGCCTCTGCCAGTACCACCCCCACTATGCCTGAGTCCCCGTGGCCCTGGACAACACAGGATCATCTGCTCCATGCACGTTTCCTTCTTCTGAGCTCTTCACTCTCCAGCCCAGCTGGCAGTCCCTCAGGTAAGGAAAGAGAAATTTCTACCCCTGGAAGCCACACAGACCTCTGGGTGGGGCTTGTCAGGACTGCATAGAGAAGCACAGGGCCAGTTTCACTCTCTGACCACAGGCTGCCCCTCTGTGTGGGTCGTGGGACTGGCAGGCCTGGCCAGCACTCGCAAGCTGGGCCCTGAGTGGGCAACCTTCTGCGTCAGCAGCTGCCCTCAGCAGATGGCCCACCCAGGTGCAGGCCACTGGGACATGGTGCTGCCTCTAAGGGCTCCGTTGGACAGTGTTGACAGTCAGCAGTGCATGCTTGTGTGCAGGGATATGCACAGCACTCGTGTCAGGGTGGAATTATGCAGAGCTCAGTCCTCAAAGAACTTCAGCAAATGAAGACGTTTGCTGTGGCTTGAACATGTTCCCTCCAAAATTCAGGTGTTGGCAGTGACAGTGAAGAACTGCAACCTGTGAGTAGTTAGCTTTCTTGCCCTCCTGCCTTGTGAGGAGCAGCAGGTAGGCCCTCCCCAGACACCAGTGCTGGCATCTGGGTCTTGGACTTCCAAGTCGGCGGAAGTGTGAAAAATAAATGTCTGTTCTTTATAAATTACCCAGTCTCATGCACTTTGTTACAGCAGCAGGAACAGACGAGGACAGCGAGCTTGAAGGAGTTAAAGCTCTACACGGGATGAGGCAGCCACAGAAGCAGCAGAAATCCCATGCTGTGTCCCAACACCAGCCATGTCAACTGTCATCAACAGATGGTAGTCCTGAGACTGAGGGAGTCTGAGGGAGGCAGAGGACAGAGGAGCAAAGGCTGAGGGAGGTTTGGATGGAAATTTGGGTAGTGGGGGGAAGGGCCCTGGAAGGCTAGAGAGCCAGGTTTGGTGGTACATGTGATGCCAGGCTGTGCGGACTGGTGGGACTGTGCGTGGCAATGTGCATCCCTGGGAAGACAGGTTGGAGGGGCCAGGCTGGTGGGCCCGTGGAGGCCCAGATTTGGAAGTCTTTGGGAGAAGATGCCAGAAGCTGTGGTCAACGAGCTGTCAAGGACTGAGTGGAGGGTGTGCAAGATTAGAAAAAGGACATCTGTGCAGTAAGGCTTGGACTCAGATGTGAGTGGGCAAGTATGAGGAAGGTGGGAGCAGTGACACTGTTGTGATGCAGGGGGGAGTCAGATTGTCCCTGGTCAGTCGCAGGGCGTTGAGTCCCACCACGGTGGCAGCAGCAGGAGGGAGGGGCTGTGGCAGTTCAGCCTAGGGTCACGTCAGCACGTTCAGTCCTGAATTCCTGCAGTTCCCATGAGATATGGCACGAGACTTGCCAAGTGGGACAGAACCCAACCACTCCTGAGACTCCTACAGACTCAGCACAGATCAGAGACATGGGGTTTCCAACACTTCTGGGGAAACAAGGCCAATTCCAGGATAGCACTGGAGGCACAGACCTCGACTCACGGGGATCAGCTCCCAGCACTGGGGCTTAAAGGCAGGTGGGTTACCTGTAGCCCAAGGACAATGTGACCTCCACACCTGGGAGAAGGCTCTCAGCAGTTCCCACCAGGCCCAGCAGGTGGCGCTCAGGCCTCATGGCCTCTGCCTGTGTATGTGTGGGGTGTTGCACTTCTAACCCTAGCTTTAAGACAAATGTGTGATGGGGAGGGGAAGACTGTCTGTCCCTGGGCTTTGACACCCACAGAGGCTGTGGCGGAGGGGGACGACTGACCCTGCACAGAAGGGACCACTGCTGTTGGTGTCCTGAACGGGTCCCTCTTGGCAGCTTAGGCCCTTGACTGCTTTAGTCCAGAAGAGCCCCTGTCCCACATCCAGAAAGTCGCCCGCAGAGGATCCCATATGCTATGAAGTCCCCTTCCCAGTGCTGCTGCATTATTGTCTTTGGTAAGTCCTATGTGCTGGTAGTGAGATCTACAGGCCTCTCTAGATTCAGATTATGTATTTTTGGTGAGAATGTTTTTAAATGAGGATCCTGAGGCAGAGTATGCCCAAGGCCCAGTCCTGCCAGTCTTTTCAGGGAGGCTCTAGGCCCCATTATACCTGGGAGAGGCTGGTGCCATGCGCCACAGTCTGCATACAATAAACCCAACACTCTGCAGATTTCTTTATCGTTGGTTCCATCACGATTTATTCTAACTCAGATCCTTATGGACACAGCTTTAGAAAATATTCTTGCTCAGCCCACAGCTCACCCCATTGAGAAGAAACACAGGCTCTAACACCCAAGAACTTCAGAACTTCATCATTCCTACTTCCTTCGGCCCCAGAGTGTTTGAGTTGTGCTGCCTAGGCCATTGTGTAAGGGCTCTGTCCCAGGAGCAGCAGACCGGCGTGAAGCCCAAGGTTCGGGTCCTTCCTAACAGCCTCCCTTCAGGGTCTTCTTGGCCTGAAAAATAAAGTGTTTTGTTTGAGTGGCCTGTTTCCAAGATAAATATGGCTCCAAAGTAAGGAATTTACTATACCAAATGCCATCCTCTACCAAATCCTTACAAAGAACTCAAGTACTGATGTAGGGTAGAGGTTCGGCTGGTCAGAGCGCAGGGAGACTCTTCGGCAGAGTCTCTGGGTCACTTGTCCGCAGGGCAAGAGACTTGTGACAATTCGTGACACCTGGCACAGGCCTCATTGCTACACTTCCCATGTGCCACATTTGGTCTCACACACTCCTAAAGGGGCTGCTGGGATGGGGCAAGAATGAGGCTATGGGGCTGGGCCTTAATTATTCCAAGGAGGTATAAGGGGTTCCCTGGGCCCTCAGGAAAATATGTACATGAACTACCTTTTTTCTTTACCTGTTTTTTATTTGTTTTTAGAAGCAGGGTCTCGCTCTGTTGCCCAGGCTGGAGTGCAGTGGTACGATCATAGCCTCAAACTCCTGGGCTCAAGCAATCCTCTCTACACCCAGCTAATTTTTTTTGGTATTGTTTATTTGTAGAGACAGGGTCTTGCTAGATTGCCCAGGCTGGTCTCGAACTCCTAGCCTCAAGCGATCATCCCACCTCAGCCTCCCAAAGTGCTGGGATTACAGGTATGAGCCACCACACCCAGCCCTTCTTGAGCTAAAGAAATAGCCCATGTACTCTCAGCCCGTTCTGCTTAGTACAATCCTAGACCATCAGGAAACTGTTCTAGACTCACTGGATTCTGCAGAGTTCTTATCCAACAATACTTCCTTCGGTCCAGTTCTTTGGATCAACAGCTCCCAGTAGACAAAGATGATCACTGACATCATAGCCCACCCAGACCCACCGAATCAGGGACCCAGTGATGCTGAGACTCTGGGAACCAGCCCCAGAATGACTTATAAGCCTCATGGGCAGACAACAGCCTCCTTGTCCTGTTCTGGAACACTCAGACACCAGCTCCAAGAGGCTTCCTTCCTCTGCGCAGGTCTGCCAACCTCCAAGAGCCCTACTTCTGACAGGGCCTTTATGAAGATATGCAAACGCAACAATGCAATTCTTTACCTGTGTGGAGTACTGGGTCATTCTCACAAGACTGAACGGCAGTGTCTGATCGTCAAATCAGACAGGGATCAGAAAACGCCAAGGCTGAGGAACAGATGGGACTTGATGTGGAGGAGTTAGAGGAAGAACTGAGTCCAGTACAAAAACATGGGCTGTGCCCACTATCTGCTGCTGCTCCAGTGAGCCCTGGCCAATGAGGCCAGGACGCTGGGCCTTTGGAGAGTTAAGTGCGATGTTCTCTAGTGGAATCTCCTTCCAACTTCTGTAAAAGGGGGTGGTTGTGGAGGAAAAATGGTGCCTGGGAGGGCAGCACACTGGCAGGTGCTGAAGAAATCCACCACCGCGGCTACGCAGGAACGCAGCGGGCTGCACATGACAGCGAGGTTAAGACGCGAAGGTGCTGGGGCGCTCGCTGGGAGTCCTGTGTTGAGATCCATCGCGCCATGACGCCTCCCGATGGCCGTGCCAACACGAGAGTTTACGCTTTTTATAAAGCGCTTTCTCGCATACATCCCCACTAATCCCTTCTGAGGATATGAAACCTCCCCCCAGGACCGCGGGGCTTTCGCGGGCTCGTGGGTGTCTCGGTGTCTAAAGCACCTAGTGCGCTCAAACACTAAACCAATGCGAAAGCAAAGAAAGGCGGGACCACCGCCTCTCGGGAAGGGACGGGCTGGGAGGGGCCGCGCCCACCTACCGCGGCGACGAAACAGCTCCGCAGAGCCTCGAACTCTTGAGCACAGAGGTCCTTGTTCAGGCGGCCGCCTGGAGCCGTGGAGGCCTGCACGCACCTGCCGTACGCCGCGGCCTGCGCAAGGGACAGACCCTGGTCGCTGGGGTCCCTGACCCCGGTCACCGCCTCCCTCCCGGTCATCGCCCCGCGGACCCCCAGGTCACCGCTCCGCGCGGCCCTTTCTGCCCCGCAGGCTCTGGTCTGTCCGGGGCTCCTCACCTCGGCCCCGCAGGCCGCCAGACGCTCTGGGAAGGCGCGGAGGCGACTTCGCACGCGTCCCCACACTGCTCCGTTCGCCGACATGAACGCCTCTTTTTGGCACCCATGGGCGCCACCATCTTTGATCAGCCCTCTTCCGGTGTCCCACAGCTTGATGGGCCGGCGCTTTTGACCATCATCTTTCCTGCGCTTCCTAACTGGTCAGGTTCCGCCCAGCCTCGGGCCCCTGCAATTGGCAGTTGTTCTTGTCTGTCTCTGCTCTGCGACTTCGGATTGGATCAAACTCAAATTGTTCACGAAGCCGACCTCAGGGCCCGCCCCGCCGCGAGCGATTGGCTAGTGGGGTCAGGCACGCGCGGTGATTGGAAGGCCAGGGCCTGGCGGAAGCGGGGCCGGCCGGGAG